AATAACATTACTATCACAGACGCCATTAAAATTTCAGCGATAACACGCTAAAAACAAACTTCGTAAAAGAAAACCTAACCTCAATAACACGAAAAGTTCTCAATGTAAATAGTTACCGTATTTACGCATGTATAGGCCGCACATTTTTTGCCAAAAATTCAAGAGGAAAACTGGGGTGCGGCTTATATTCGAAATATTCGAAATCACACTTCATTTTAAAAAATTATATTCATAGTTAGTAATAGAGGGTGTAATACTCCTGAAATAATATTCCAAGAAAATTATTTTTTCTATAATTTCTGTCTGAAAATTGTGCTGCGGCCTATACACGCACGCGGCCTATACATGCGTAAATACGGTATTTAGTCCTGAATTGCATTTATGATGGTACATCTCTCATCGGTGCTAATCCCTTTTAATATTAATTCTAATAACCCTGAAGGGAGAGGTGAAAGAAGGGTGAGAAATTCACCAGATGGAGTGACTACAGACAGATTTTGGACTGGCAACCGATTTATTTGACCCTTAAGCAAGTCGCGACTAAACAGATCACTATTGCAGACAGACTAGTGTCCTCAGTCACGGTATTCACTGAACTGCTTGGTAACATCTTCCGACAGTGGACGTTCTTCTGCTCACGGGCTCACGTCCTTGCAGGCTGGCGACCATCTCATATCAACCTCCTACTCTTCTAACTTCAGACTCAAGACTACTCTGTAATAGCAGCTGGTCCTCGTTACATAGCCTCGGCACGTACGGCAGAGAAAACACGACTACCCATAACTGCTCCATTGTTTCGTGTTACACAACCGTTACCTAGCAATGGCTGTTTCTGACTCCACAGTTCAATAGTATGTATATGAGATACGATGATTTCACTAAGGCGAGAATGTAAGTTGCGGTCTTCTGGGTCTTAACACCGTGTAGTCTTGTAGGCAGTCACGACGCTTCGGTAGATCGGTAGAAGAAGGAAGAAGGATTTATTTTCGAAACGACGGTAAATTCCTACAAGTCCGCACGGTGTCAAAATCCAGAAGACCACAACCTAAATATTCATATACAGATTTTATTGCAATTAATGTACGGAACGGGTGAACCCTTACAAGCCATGATCTTGTTCAGCCGGGACAATCAACGTTCCACCTCTCTGCGCAGAAATAAAAATCAATCAGAGAAAAGGGTTCATGCGTGCTCAGAGGCAACTTCGTTGTTTTTGCTCACTCAAGAATTTTCCTGTGCCAGCGGTCCAAAAAATACCCCTGAGTTGAAGGTTCTACCCGGCGCTGGGTCGATTTGAAGTACCAATATTTCAAACACAGAACTCAGTTTCCGGTTGTTTCTACTGGCTTTGTGTGATAACATTAAAGGGCGTGTCTATCTACGCGTGATACTGCAGAATTGTCAGATGCAGGCTCTGCCATTCGTCAGTGCAGAAACACAAAAGAGGATTTTAATCTTTTTGTATCCCTGTTACAAGTGAAGAGCTTTTGGCACGCAAATTGCGTGTATCTCCTCAAACTACAAAATAAATCTGCGGACAAAAAGGAAGGACGAAGGAGACAAAAGAGAAAGAATGACAGCAAAAGAAAGAAAAAATGACAACAAAAGATACAAAGAAAACAGAAATAAACCAGAAGAAAGAAAGATAAAAGGAAAAAGAAAAAAGTGCGAAGAAGATATTCAGGATACCGTAATTAACTAATCCAGTAAATCAAAGCAGCGTGGTCATTTTGAGGAGGTAACGCTGCTCACCTAGTCAATAAAATGCACCGGCTCTTATGTAACAAGAAGGGTCATTATTGTGGTCACAGAAGTCAGTCACTGGACCACACCTCCAGCCAGAATAATCCAGTCTATATCATTCTAATATTATCCTCGAACTTACACCTAGGTTAGCGGCCTCCGTAGTCTAGGGGTAACGTTCCCACCTCATGACTCAAGGTACGCGGGTTCAAAAACTCGGAGGAGGTCGTGGAATTTTTAAGGGCGGAAAAATTCAGGGAACAAGTCCTCCGGGAGGGACTTTAAGCCGTGTCGTAGATTTACGGCAAGTAAAAGAACCTCATGTCTCTAGAAGACCTCTGAGCTAAATTCCCGCCCAAGTAGTTTCCAATGCCTCCAGTAGATGGGGAAGTATTGGGTACTACTGCCAGAGGAGGGACGACCTCGCTGACAGAAAGGGACTAACTATTAGATACCACTGCCAAGCAGAGGGTAGAAACCTCGCTGGTAGAAAGGGGCTGATAGCGAGCACCAGTACCGGTAGGGGATGGAGACAGTAGAAATTAAAAGGGGGACGTACAATAGACTATCAGTCAATACTGAATAACTGAATACACCTAGGTTTCCCACGTGGTATCCTTCTTTCAGATCACCTGACTGGAATATCGTATGCATTTCTCATCTTTACCATGAGTGCCACATGCCCCGTCCATCTTATCCTCCTTCAATTAATCGCCGTGGTAATACTCGGTGAAACGTACAAATTATTGGGCAAATTTCTTGAGCATTCTCTTACTGTCTCCCTCTCACATACCCCTTATCTGTTGTTCCTTTTGTTTTACTCGGGATTGGTATGCGGCNAGACACTGTACTACAAGCCGGAAGGTCGCGGGTTCGAGTCCAGATTAGGTGGATCTTTTTCAATTGACCTAATCCTTCCACTCTGGCCCTGGGGTCGACTCAGCCTCTATGGGGCGTAAAGGGCGGCCAGCGCGTAAGGCTGACAACCTTACCGCCATCTGTGAGCCCATTGTCTAGAAAATGTGGGAACCTCAACATCTCACAACCGTATGGGCCTCCAAGGTCTGTTACAGGGATAGCTTTACTTTTTACTTTTTGGTATGCGTATTCAGGGCCGATCACAGTGGCCGCGCGGAATAAGGCACAAAGAGTCTTCACCCGCTTGAACACTGGGATCGTGGGTTCGAATCCCACTTGAGGCATGAATATTTGTGTGCGTTTATTCTGTTTGTGTAGGTAGCGGCTGATCCCCCGTCCAAGGAGTCCTACTGACTGTATACAAGATCAAGAAACTGAAAAGCGGCCAAGGCTGAACAAAGGGCTGTAGAGCCGTAGACAGACTTGGGTATTTAGGCGTATTAAACTACGAGACACAAACCGAGTCAGCTGTGCTTAATGAAGGACTATATATGCAGTATGTTTTACGCACCACCAGCAGGTATTTCTCAAATGTGAGTCTGACGTCACACAACATACTGCGCGTCTTTAGGGATGACATAAAAGAGAGATGTTTACCGTCCTTGGAAGTTAGTCTAATTAAACTGGTACAGTTTGGTTCGCCGCGGAATTTTAATTAAGTACTATTTTTAAGAATTCTTAAAAGTCATGGCTTCATTTACGGTATTACTTTAATAATCTGAACACATGACGTGTTGTTTCCTTGTGAATGTCGCTATGGTATCATTTTGCAGAAGGAGAGACTTCCCATTCGCCGTGTTTCTGTAAAACCGAGGAACGACAAATTCTCTAAAGGCCAGTGGCCAAACAAGTACAAGCATATTTTTGTTATTGCTAGTGGGGTGGGACTAAGTCCCTTGTGCTGCGGCCACTTCTGGCCTATTGTACCAGCCCCAGATGATAGGTGAGGGTGATTGTGGAGCAACTGGTGGAATGAAAATTGACAGGGGAAACCGAAGTTCTCGGAGAAAACCTACCCCAGCGCCACTTTGTCCACCACAAATCCCACTTGACCAGACCCGGGATCGAACTCGGGCCGCTGCGATGGGAAGCCTGCGACTAACCGCTTGAGCTATGGCGCTGCCTAAGTACAAGCATAACAGATACACACAACCATAGAAAGCTCCTATTCACAAATATTTTAAATGCATTGTACAAATGAATCGGCTTATAACGAACCTGTAAAAATTTCATATCAAGAATATGAAATTTAAAACGGATATGATAAAGCGCTTACAAAATGCTATACCTGAGTTCCTCCCCCTCTCCCCTTCAACAGCCCGTCTCCTGACAAGGNACCATAGAAAGCTCCTATTCACAAATATTTTAAATGCATTGTACAAGTGAATCGGGTTATAACGAACCTGTAAAAAGTTCATATCAAGAATATGAAATTTAAAACGAATATGATAAAGCGCTTACAAAATGCTATACCTGAGTTCCTCCCCTCTCCCCTTCAACAGCCCGTCTCCTGACAAGACTGTTCTCAGTCACAGTGAATGATTTCAGGGGCGCACCTCAATACACTTTGATTTTACTAGTCTGACTCCAGCTTTTAACCCTGTTAACCACGATGAACATCTAAATACGATTTCAGTTCCTACCTTACAGAAACAGGGAGCCGGGATAGCGCAGTCGGTATAGCGACTGGCTACGGGCTGGACGAGCGAGAGGTCGGAGTTGAGTCCCGGTAGGGTAAAGAATTTTCTCTTCCCCACGTCATCCACACCGGCTCTGGGGTCTACCCAGCCTTCCATCCAATGGGTACTGGGAGCTATTTCCCCGGGGGTAAAGCGGCCGGGACGTGAAGCTGACCACTCACCTCCACCAACCAGTGCCGAGGTCAAGAGAATGTTGATCTATACATCCATTCCCCCATACGCCTTCATGGCGAAGTGCTTAATTAAGTAAGCACAGGACAAACTTTGACCTTTTCACCTTACAGAAAACCCATAAATACACTCCGTGGGGAAAATACAGAATTTTCTAATGTTAGAGCAGGTGGTACATATAGCGACCACTCTGCTTGAAAGAATTAATTATCTGGCCTGTTCCGATTCAAAATGAATGAGGCCGGAAATAGTCTGAATACACGGTAAGTTTGTCTGGAAAGTGGTAACTTAACATCACAGGATGGCGGTATGTCGAAAGGGGGACAATATCCATTCTCTCAACAGGATTAGAAGCTGTACACACAGTAGCGTCGCATCAGGACCACGGCCGTGGAACATTACTTGTTGTTCAAGGTTCGTTATAAACAGGATTCACTAAGTCCATATTCAATTGTTTGAGTTACGAACCTTCCTCTGCGCTGACACCGAAGTAACCGCTGGCTTCTTCAGATGTATTGTTGTTACAAATGGAATTGCGACCTATCACAAACGACGCGTCGAGTGAGAACATTGCAACAAGAAAGGATATTTAAATGTACTTGATAATATTAAGGTTAAATCTTATTACGTGTTCTAATTATTCATAGAATACCGTTCAAATGTAGCCGGTATTATGAAAAATAACCCCTTGTTTACACATTTCCTTTCTACGCACCCAAAAAATCCCGGGAGTCGCGCAGAACGAATTTCTGCGTCCGCCGGGAAGCAAAGATGCGTTCTGCGCAACTCCTATGATAAGTGCCTGGGAAGGGAGCGTATAAACACGGACGTAATATCTCTACTTTCCCGGAAAGTTCTGTTGAGTAACCTGAATGTATCCCTTTTCTGAGATATCATCATACAGAAGTCCATTGCTAGCAGTAAACTGATAATTATATTGACGACTTTATTTGTTACAAACGACAACTTGCTAATGACCATATCACAACATGAATCTGCCATATGTCCTGGACTCAGATCACAAAATAGCTTTGTTTCCATTCGAGTCACAAATCATACCACCTCTTGCGGTCAATGAACCGTGGCCTCCGGCTTCTCCTGCTGTATAGGTTACCCTCTGTACCAGTGTTCACGACTAATTATTCCTGGGGGCTCACTTAATGAAACAAAAAATGGAGTAAAAGTAAAGTTGTTCCTGTACTTAACCAAGCATCGCGCCTTGAAGAAGTCTAGGGAATGGAGGTACAGCTCCACCCATTCTTAACCCGGGCTCTAGATAAAGGTGAATGTTCAGATCAACATCTCGGTCTACACACGAGGAAAGAGCCCTGCTGGTACTCACTGGGTGGGCCCCGTAGCCGGTAGGGATGCTGTGAAGATAATCATCACTCTACATTGCCGGGAATCGAAACCGGAATCCCCATAACCTAGTTGCTATAGCAACGGAGTTATCCCTGCTCTGACTACTTGTTAAAACAATAGAAATTATAGTCATTGTTACTGGTAGTAACATGTTTAGGTGTCTCATTTGTCTGACATTACACAAGCCTCTGGACGTTGGATCACTCACGGCACCGCCCGNCCCCGCGCCCCCGCCACTCTAGTGCCCCTCCCGTGTTTCGGCGTTAGGGTGAAGCACATTCTTTTCCTCTAGGGAGCAAGCCGTGCCAACAGAAACCCACGAGTTGTCCTCCTCTGAGTCATAAGGAGCAGAAAGACTCGTGGTTCACGCCATTATGCCATCGGTTTAACATGTTAAAGTGGCACACAACAGAAAACAAACTCCAAAATTTCGTTCATAAGGGATCAGGGCAGACGTAGCAGAACGCACTTCATCGCTGCTAACTCTGAGTTTGAATCTCGCCATAGACTTGCTTGTTTAAGGTTGTTTTATAGTCTGGGCAAGAAATTATTATTATTATTATTATTATTATTAAGAGTCGGGATAGTGTTGTCGGTATAGCGACTGGCTAAGGGCTGGATGAAGAAGGGGCTGGAGTTCGAGTCGCGGTAGGGTCAAGAATTTTCTCTTCTCCACGTCGTCCAGACCGGCTCTGGAGTCCACCCAACTTCTTATCCAATAGGTACCGGGGGCTCTTTCCAGGGGTAAAGCGGCCGGAGCAGACAACTCACCTCTAACTAGTGCCGAGGTCAAGAAAATGTGGATCTATACATCCACACTTCCATATGCCTTCATGGCGCAGTGCTTAATTAGTGAAGGACAGCGAAAACATTATTATTATTATTGTTATTATAACCCAAATATTGGGTGCTACAAGCCTATTCCAATGTTCAGAAATTTTAAAACCTCTTGCCATCTACTTCTGGGTCTTCCCGCGTTTCCTATCTTATGGTATTACATAAGTATATTAATTTTGGTAGCCTGTTATCTTGCTTCATACTCACGCGCTGTTTCAAATTTAATTTCTATTTATTCACTTCTTATAGCACATTCTTAGTTTGCAGTGCATCTCCTATTTCATTCGTGTTTCCGCCTCGTAGTTACGCCTACAAGTGACTCATGGAATCTCATACATGAGAAAAAAAATCAAATTAAAACTAAAAATTTACGGTCGACTAAATATAATAATATTAAAATGGTTTTCTGTTTGTACATTGCGATCTTCTGCGTTGTGACACCATCAGCGTAGAAAATAAAATCGAATAAAAAATAATTCAGATATGGGATATATATAAGTATGACAACATTCAACCTGAAGATGGGTGTACAAGTATCGTGTATCCTAAATAAAACTCAGATAACTGACGATACTCAACACAATTGTGCTGCAAACAAGATCTAAGCGCTCGTGACAGTTATGCCTTTCTGAACATACCCATCGTCCCGTTTTCTATATAAAACGACGTTTCGGAGACTGGACTCTGCCTCTGTCTTCAGACAAAAAAAAACCTATTCAGTTGGGCCCAACCTGACGGTGGAGGCACAATCCATTCTCCGAAACGTTGTTTAAAAATTTAAAAAGGGGATGATGGATAACGTTCGAAAAGTCAATAACTGTAATAACTGTGGTGTAATAAATTAACAGCTGTCACGGAGTGAAATTAATGGTTCTCAGTGCATGCCGTGACGGGAACACAATCACATCTAATAATGAACTTCGAGTGCTCTACATGGGACAAGTTATTTAAAATTAAAATACACAATACAATAAAAATCCACGAGGTCGATTATTAAATGTCACTTGTCAGTTTTCAATGTACAGTTGTCAAGGGGAGAAAACTACGTTCTGATTCTGACGGTGGTGTATTATATTCGGGGCCCCAAACATTGGGTTCTTTCAGAATCAGATGATCGAAAATATATAGAAACTCATGGAGGAGAGAAACACATATTATTAAAATTATGAGTAAAATATTCATCTTTTTCATTCTGCTCATTCTGGAGTTTTACTGCAAGTACAACTGTCATGTCAAGGTTATTTAAGTTAAGTATGAGTGCTTTGAAGAGTTCACTAGAACTATAACGCACAGTATAAGTCGTTTTATCAATGTGTTACATCTTTTTCCTGGGATGTGGTGAGACTGAGTCCACTTGGTAGGTCAGCCACTATTTGGCCTATCGTAGCAGCCCCGGATGATAAATGAGCATTTGGTGGAATTAGAACTGGCAGGGGAAACCGAAGGACTCGCAGAAAACCTGCCCCAGTGCCACTTCGTCCACCACAAATCCCACATTACCTGACCTGGGACCGAACCCGGGCCGCCAGGGTGGGAAGCCGGCAACTGACCGCCTGGCCTATAGCATGGCCCCTTACAATTCCAAACCCTTGAGATTTCAAAAAGTTTCAAAATTTTCACTGGGTTCTGAGATTTATATTACGCACCTTCTTGGGTACTGTGACCGAAATAACTGTTGACTTCTTCAGGTATGTTGCTGTTCAAAGTCGCGATGTGACTGAAACTTGGCCTGCTTTGACGCCGTGGGTACTGTTGTTGTGCAGGCTGAACATTCAGACTTGTCTCCATATCCTGCATTTGTAATCCAACACAACAACAGAGGTTATTAAACGCGGGCCCAAGAAATCCTAAGATTCCGCTGGGAGAAGACAAAAACAAACTTGGGAGGTTCAAGCTGTAGCACAACCATATGCGAACATTTACGTTTAAAAATCTAATAACTATGAATAGTTTCTGTAGAGATTTTTTTTAACTAGAAAACCGAAATTAAGGGCGGTGGGGATTCGTTGCGCTGACCACGTGACACTCTCTATCCGCTAAAGATGGCATTAACTTCGCCTACAAGCGACGGTCGCTCGGTTGTTATAGTTCGCTTGCGGACTACAGGCCACGGAGTTTGTTTCTCCTTCTACTGTGAACATGGTGGCAGCAACTCCTTCGAAATCTCGGCTGCGTTACTAGCTATAGCAACAGAATACTTATCCAGCTGTCCGGAGACTCTCAGTTAAAGGATATGATCAATGCCTTCCACACTCTTTCAAAATCATACAAAATCATCCTATAGTTCGACGTTATGAACTCGAAGAGGCGTCGTTAAATAACCAAGAATCGATTAGTCAGTTCAGGAATAAGCAGCGACAACGTGTCGATACAGGTCATACTCACCTACTTCCTAATTCTTTCCTACTAGCCAATCAATATAATTATTCCTCTAGATTCGCCTCTAACTTCTGCAGTCGGAACATCGTCATGTTGTGTATGTAGATAGAATGTGGGGAGGGGGGGTTGCATATAGTTTTGATGGGGAACCCTATTGGAAATCAGCCACTTGGAAGACTAAAGGCGCGTCCACATTACTCGTGCTCGTATGACTCACTATGCTCTCGAGTAATGTGGACGATATGACAAGTCACGAGAGAAGCAGATTTTAAATTATTAATTTAAAAACTATAGTCAGTAAATTAAACTACTACTACAGCCTATACACACTACTAGTAAATATACGGATCCTCACGCACCGAAGCATGGCGAGCAACTGAAGTAGTGTGGACGAACATTTACGAGCACAGGTAAAAGCCAGACGAGTCTTCCGACGTGCACGAGCACGAGCAATGTGGACGCGCCTTAGGAAACATTAAGGGGAATGATGATAATAGTCTCTTAGGGAAATGGGTCATAATGATTACGTGTGTAGAGAAGTGACTTGGGAACGTGTCAACCAGCAGACACTTGAGAAGTCCATTCATTCTATGAACCTCATGCACAAAACCTTACGGAAGAAAAGCCCTGTGTAAACATGTCTGAATTTTTAATCGTCCTATGAATGCCGGAAGTGTGCTGAAAACAGAACCTAGTAACTTTCCAACCATGACGTAACTGTCTACGTCAAAGGGAGAATTTTAGACGAGAAAGAATATTAGAAATTTTAATAACGTTATGTGCCGGTCACGGTAGCCGAACGGTCTAAGGCATGCACTGTCTTCGCTCGCTCGGAAGCCGAGATCGTGGGTTCGAATCCCGCTCAGGGCATGGATGTTTGTATGCGTTCTTCTGTGTTTGTGTATAGGTAGAGGCCTTGCGACGAGCTGATCACTCGCCCAAGGAGTCCTACCGTATGTCTA